ATTTAAATGACAGAAATTTAAATGACAGAAATTTAAATGACAGAAATTTAAAAGTCAGTCTTACCTTAAAGTTATGAGCTTTTTCATAATTGAAGTGGTTCTCACTTTGTTTCAAGGCAGCTCTTCTGATAAGTGAGGTGATCTGTGAATAGGCAAAAAGTTTCAGAGGTTGCCATAACATTGTATTCCTTCTAACGACTTTCATCCCTACTGCCACTGCCAGAAGCTCTTGATGCTTCTCGTCCTTTTTTGAGTTGTGCGTAATAGGAGAACATGTCTGTTCACTCTCTAACCACAGTTCCTGAGAAGGCATAGTGTTAGGATCTCAAATACGTATTCTGTCTTGTGAGCTGTAAAGTTTAAACGTCCTCAAGTTTGCCAAACAGCTTCTAATGTTAACAACCAGAGTGGGAGCAGCTGCACTCCATTCTGCTGAATCCTCAGGCATATGACTTGAATGGCTGTCTTGTGAGATGAAGGGGTTTCTATATCTGAATGAGCCTTAGCAAAGGTCTGAGTGAGCACTCAAGGCAGACGTGTGCTGCAGACAAAAGCACACATTCATAAACCCTACAAAACCTTAGCAACCGTTTCTAGACAGACGTTACAGAAACTTTAGGCAGGGGGTGGTTGCTCTGCATTCTGAGACCACAGCAGATTTCAAAGGGCCAATCTGTTCTGCAATAATACCACACTAAAGAAACTAGCTCAGATGGTACTGGTCAAATATTGCATCCAATTAAAAAACAAATCAGACAGAGAAGTTGTAAGACATTATGATTGAGCTGAAAGATTTAAGTGCAAACACCATATCTATATCCTATCTGACAACATTATCAAAGGATTCGCAAGATTCTGCAATAGTCCTCATTTTAAAATTGCAATTCTGCATAATGTTCAGAAATCATACAAGCCAATTTAACAAAATTGACGGTATGGTAAAACTAAAAACAAAATGATGTGCAAAGGCAGAGATCTGTTACACTTCCTAAGTATTACAGTGTTAAAACTGCAATGCATGAAGAATCTAATAAGTTTTTTTAAAAAAATACAGAACTATAGCAATTTTGGAAAAAGTAAAAACATAATTCTTAGGTATATAATGCTGATTGTAAGAAATATGGTGTTACTTGTATATATTGTTGCCTTCTAAGACATTGTAACATACTGATCTACATGCACTCACATAGTTGATGTTAATGTTTCGTTTAAATGCATCAGAATGAAACTAGATGCTGAGAAATATTTTAAGTACCATCCTTCACCTTAAGACTTCTGAGCCAAAATTTCCTCTTGTATCAATATAATATCAAAAGTATTGATAAAAAATTTTTCCAGTATCAAGGGATAAAGGCAGATTTTGGAGCACATAAAACACCAAGATTACAAAATTTAGATTCACAGTACCTTAGAGGTTCAAATGACATCTAGAGCATGTGTGCAGAACCATGATGCGAGTCACTCGGGGACTCCATACTGGTGAAGGAAAAATGTCTAAGGGGCCATAGCACTGTGGCAAGATAGCCAGAAATACTCGTTAAATGTAGCAAAGTCTGAAGTAATATATTTTACTAGAAAGGTTGAGGAAAACACAGTTGAAATGGTAATGTCTAATGCTCAGAAGAGGAAAAGAAGGAATTCCTAGTGAAAGTTAAAGATGACAAAATGAAGAATCCCAAGATAACCAATAGATCTTCAAAAAATCTTCTCTGGAAATCAAAACTGTGCCAGAGGGACAATGCAACCAGCCGCTAAATGATAACATTGAACATGGATAAGGATCTAAAAAAGTCATTATCTTTGATTCTAGAAGGATAGATTATAATAGAAAATTTGAATACGTTGCTCAACTTCTTTGGCTGTAGTTGCTGTATTGTGTAGACTTTTGGACATCTTAACACAGGAAGGATATAAAATCGTGAATACTGTGTGGATCTGGAGGAAAACAGCAGGTCAGACAGCATCAGAAGAGCAGAAAAGTCAATGTTTCGGGCCTGGACCCTTCATAGGACTGGGGAGGAGGAAGGGAGCTGGGGAATAAGTAGAGGGAGGAGAGGTGGGGCTGGGGGAAGGTAGTTGGGATGGCGATTGAAGGTTACAAGTAGGGGTAATGGGGGTTGGTCAGTGGGAAGGATGAGCAGATAGGTGGGGAAAAATATGGACAGGTAGTGTCAGGTCAAGGTGGTGGGGTGAGAGGGAGGTTTGGGCATGGGGTGAGGCTGGGGCTGGGGAGATTTTGAAATACCGAGGGTTATCTCTGAGGATATAAAAGTGTCTAACTTGAATGAATTTTTTGATGAAGTAACAGAAAGGTTTCATAAAAGGTAGTAAATGGATTAATATATAATTTTTTCTACAGTGTTCAAAGTGTTACACAGAAGGCTTATTTCAAAAAAGCAAGTCCACTTAGTAAGGGACAATTGGCAATATTGATACAACATCGAGAGAAAGCAAAGGTTCATATGGATAGATGTCTTTTCCAGCTTTGATGATTTACCTGGTATTGTCTAAGGATTATTTATGGATCCATTACTATTTTCACTTTTTTTTTAAAATCAATGATCTAGACTTCTGTAGGGAACAATACTATAAAGTTTTCACTGATACAAAACTTGACAAGCTAGTAGTGATGAGGATAATTTTAGCTTTCAAGATGACTTGTAACAGATGGTGAAATGGGAAGGAGGACAGGAACTTGAGTTCAATGTAGAAAAGAGTGAAGAGATGCGTTTTTGGAGGACTTATATGGCAAGACAATATTCTATTAATGACACTGTTCTGAAAAGTGTAGATGAGCAGAGACATCTTGGTATCCACACATACAGTTTCTTAAAGGTGGGAGGACAAAATGATAAACTGGCTGCAAAAGAACATCGGATTACTTGAGTTTATCAACAGAAGAATAAAAATAAAGAAGTAGAGATTTTGCTAGAGCTTTACACAACACTGGTTAGCCCTCAGCTGATATGGGAAATTCTGAACACCACACTTGGAAAGACATAAAAAAAAACTTAGGAAAGATTCAAAGGAGGTTTACCAGGACAATACCAGGGATCAAGGACTTCAATCATGAGTACATGTTGGCAAAATTAGAAGTATTCTTCTTGAAGCACAGAAGATCAAGAGAACATAAATAAGAGCATCAGTAGACCATATGGCCTCCCAAGCTTGCTTTTCGATTCAATTGATCATAGCTGATCTTCACTTTCCCACACTCTCTTGCCGTCCAGTTGATTTTCTAAGAAATTAACAATCTGTCTATCCTAGCCATGATTATACTTAATCCACCATCTTCCAATGCGGACAATTCCAAAGATTCCCAACCCCATAGCGAATCAATTTTGCATCTCAGCTCTAAATAACTGACTCCTTAGCCTGAATCTGTGTTCCTGTGTTCTAGATTGCCCAGCCAGGGGAAAAATCTGTGTGTCTGCTATGTTGAAGCTCTCTGGAATCTTGTATATTGCAATGAGCTCACCTCTCACTCTTGTAGAATTCAGAGTGTTCAGTCCCAATTCATCAGACACTCATCATAGTTTAATCTCCTCATCTCAGAAACCAATCCATCAAATCTTTGCTGTAGCACCTCCTATCCTTTCTTATTTATAGACATCAAAACAGCACAGAGAATTCCAGGTGTGATTTTGCCAAAGACCAATACAATTGTAGAAAAGTTTTTTTTAATTATATTCATGATTCCTTGAAATAAAAGCCAATGTGCCATTTGCCTTCTGAATTGATTTCTATACCTTAATGCTAACTTTGTATGTCTAGTTCAAGTTGCATCCAAAACTCTCTGAGCATTGACAAAGTAGTTTCACATTGTTGAGAAAATATTTTGCTTTTCTATTCTTACCGTCAAGACATATAAACCACACTTGCCCACATAATGTTCCATCTACCATCTTGTTCTCCTTTCACTTAACCTGTGCATATCTCTCTGTGTCCTCCTTACAGCTTATATTCCCGTCTAGCTTTCTGTCATCGGCATTTTAAAATTCTGCAGCTTTCACCAGTTAAAAGGACAACAGCAGCAGATCGCATGGGAACACCACCAACTGCAAGTTGACTCCAGTCCCACTTGGAAACATATCACTGTTCTTTCACTGTCAGGGTCAAAAACAAGCAAGCCGCTTGCTAGCAGCACTGTGGACTGCAGCCATTAACTACCTCACTGAAGACAACAGTAGATGCTCACATTTCATGAATGAGAAACAAAAAAAACTGCATTATTTTCAGACTCTGCATAAGTCATTCACATAGGTTGCAAGTAACTTTAGCCCTGTCACTAATCCTTATAGTTCTTCACTAGTTAAGCCTGCCAATTTGAAAATGATCCATTTATCTCTGTTCTCCACTTGCTGTCAACAAAAAAAATCCTCCCTGCACCCAAATAAACCCTATTATCCCCTACTCAATAGCTGGATTAATGACATCTTTACACAGGTCAGTTAGAAAATGCAAATTTGTGTCATAATCCACTATACAGCAATCACTATTTTAATTAAAAAAAGAATATGACATTTGGCCAGGTTTTCACACTGTGTACTTAGTTTGGCATTAAGTTCTCTAATTTGCATTTCCTGATTGAGACTCCGTACACCTCAGTAATGTTTCTTCAAGCTCATTTGCTTCGTCTATTCACAAGTCACAGATTTTAAAAATAGTTTGTTTCCTGGGATGTGGGTATCATTAGCAAGGTTGGCATTTGTTACCCAGCTATAACTGTACTTCAAATGAGTTGTCTGTTTGGCCATTTCAGAGGTCAGCTAAGAGTCAACCACATTGGCTGTCAGACAGAAAGCAGTCAGGATAAAGATGGTTGATTTCCCTCCCTAAACAACATTAGTGAACCGATGGGCTTTTATAACAATTGTTGATATTTCCATGGTCATTGTTATTAACTTTCATTTCCAGATTTTATTAATTGAATTGAAATTTCACTAGTTGCCATGGTGAGGTTTGAACTCGTGTCCAGAGCATTAGCCTGCCCTCGGGATTATTATTCCAGTGATCAGTCCAGACAGACCCCGAAGGCTCTTGGTGACTTTATATTGTAAAATGAGCCCATCATAGATCTGTGGATGAATGCAAGTGTAATCACCACTGAATGCAAGAAGTATAGAGAAGTATAAAGCAAGG